TTCCCGCTTCGTCACAACCGGGGGTCTTGGTGAGACCGCGCACGGAGCTTTGTGCCAAGCTCGTCCAGTGACAGCACTGAATGCGTGACATGACAGGGGAAGCTGGCCGCAGTCCCCCAGCAGCTGCAGGGCTGTGGCGCTGGCCTCACAAGCATTGTGGTGACAAACTGACTCACAAAAAGCAGAGAAACACGCTGAAGAGGACAGAGGCGGGACACTGGGGTCAGCGCACCGGCGGAGGGTTTGTGCGGGTCCTCCCGGGGCCTCTGGCCACTCTGTGTGGAGCCCTGGATGCTGGGGGGTGGGCAGTCGGAGGTGCCAGGCTGCGGTGCTTCACACAATGGGCCTTTCCCAGATGAGCGGATGAGTCCTTGTCCTGAGCTTGTCACCCTGATCAGGGGACCCCAGAAAGGTCACCTACAAGGAGCAGGTCTGATGGCGAGCTACCTCTCGGTTCTGGATTTAGGGGACAGTGAGAACCCCAGCTGTCCCCCCAGCCCCCCACCACGGTCAGGGCCACACGGCTGCGGGCATCAAGACAGGACCCAGCAGACCTGGGTCGGGCACCCAAGCGCCCAGGGTCACCCACCGCCAGTGGCCTGAGCACAGCGCCGAGACCCATGGCTCCACTCCCACATCTAGCTGACTCTCCTCAAGAGCCTGTTTCTCCGGGGAAGGTGGCCATGAGGATGTGACCCAACCTCAGCACTCAATTCCTAGTCGTGAGTCCAACTGTCCTGGTGCTCGGCCGGTGGAAGGTCCGAGCCCTTGGAGAGGGAGTGGAGACACTGAACTGACATCCAGCCACCCACTAAGCAACGCTGGGGCACCCAGCTGTCACCCCACTGTGCCGGGCTGAGTGATGCCCCCCAGAACCTCGGGGTGGTATTGGGAGATGGTCTTTGCAAATGCGACGAGTTACGACGGGGCCGAGCTGATGCAGGGACTGGTGTCCTCGGGGAGATTGGGACGCAGACGCACGGGAGACGCAGCACGTGGGGATGAGGCCGAGATCGGAGCTGTGCAGTTGGGAGCCCAGAGACGTGGGAGGGGGCCGGCAGGGTCCTCCCCGAGCTGCGGGACACCTGCCCTCGGCCATCAGCCTCTAGGACTGAGAGGACGGGTGTCTGTCGTGTGGCATGGCCGGCCTGCAGTCTGGCCTCGCTCCTCGGGGCCTTGCCAGCACGCAGACCCAGGCCCGCGGGCCAGGTGTCCCCTCGGTGGGCCTGCAGGAGCCGCCTGAGTATGTGGGGCGGGCAGTCGGCCACCTGGGCTCAGAACCCCTCCTGGGCCCCAGGCACTCCTGGCAGAGGGGCCCCTGGGTCTGTGCCCTCCCACGTCATGAAAACAAGAACAGGTCCCACTGAGTGGCCCCAGGGCTCCTGGTCCAGCTGACCAGGGTCCCCGCTCCATCAAAGGGAGGGAAGGGAAGCAGACAGCAGACGCCGTGGCACAGAGCTTCTGCCATGGGCCGTGGGCATGCGTCTCCAGAGTGGCGTCTGAGGCCGAGGACGGGCTGCCCACTGCGGGTCTGGCCTCGTCTCTGCCCAGGGCGGCCGGGCAGGGGCGCCCAGTTCTCCGTTCTCTCTGGTTCTGAAGTCGCGTGGCTGTGAGATGTGAGAAGTTCTGGAATTAGTGACAAGTGTTTTTAGGGCTCGGGAACATGGATGTGAGACTTCGGTTCTCTGGGGTCCCCCTGGCCCCCTCAGCGTCGTCTCCATTGGGCCCCATAACTTTCCAGGCCCCCAGGAGGTGTGCCCATGTGCCTGCGGGAAGGTGGGGTGCCTCGTGACAGCGCTGTCCACCGGGGACACAGGTGGCCAGTGGCTCCAGTTCAGGGGGAACCGCAGGCTCTCAACACCTCTGAACACCTTCGCGTTGGCGGGAACCAGCCTGTCCGGCATGTCTTAGCTTCGGGCGCCACCTGCTGGCGTTTTGTGGAATTACACCGGCCGGGCACAGTGAGGCTGAGTCAGGGGCTCAACACACGGAGCCGGAAGCTCAGTCCTGCAGCACCTGAGCAGGCGCAGACCATGTCCTCAGGACACACGTAAGTGACACGAGGGGCCGTTCCCAGCATCACCCACATGCTCCCTATGTGAAACGGCGGGACATAAGGAGACACCCCAAGACCTGAAGGCCAGGGGCCTGGGATCCCGGTGCAGAAAAGGCTCCGTGTAAATCTGGGAGTCACCGGAGTCCTTTGTGTGGGCCACCACTCCGTCCTCCCAGGGCCACAAGACTAGGACCTGGGCCCCCGGAGGCCAGCGGGGTGGGGTGGGGCTCCGTGCTGTTTGTGCAGCTTCTCCCAATGTCTGGTCATTGCAGGCAGAAGCCCTTGGGGAAGGGGAGACCTGCAGGAAAGTCCCACTCATGTGTGGCCCTACCCAGGGGAGCATGGGTGTCTGCCCTGGGACCCCAAGGTCCAGACTGTGCAGGCACAGGGGACGCCCAAAGTCTGGTGGGGGATCAAGGCATCTCTGCTGGCTCTCTGACCCCAGTGACTTTAACTGTAGGGACACAGCCAAGGGACCAGGTGGAGTCAGTGAAGGACCATTCTTCCCTGAGACCACGGTCCCAGGATCGAGGACACTCCAGGCCTGTCCTCACATTGCCCGGTCCCATCCCCTGTTCCAGTCCCCCCACATCCCCATGTCTGCCTGTTCCAAGTCTTCATGTCACTCCACGTCCCCTGTCCCCATCCCCAGATTCCCATGTTCCCCCACCCCATTCCCCGACCCATCCATTTGCTGCCAGCACGGTCTGGGGACACGGCCGAGGTCAGGCTCTGTGTACCTCGGATTCGGGTAAAACACCGAGAAGGACCAGAGCCTATAGATCACGCTCTCTGGGCTCTGGGGACTCACCCAAGGTCCCCGTGCCTGTGTCAAGCAATTTCTGATGTGTCTGCCAAGTGACCAGTCATCCTAGGAGGGGACAAGATCAGCCCATCCCCTTCCCCAGTCACTCACCCACCTGTCCGCTGGTTCATCCATCACCTGGCTGCCCATTCTACTTCCTAACTTCTGAAAGCCACTGATGCCAGGGGCTCGGAGACACAGTGGAAGAGGAAGAGCTCCTCGCTTCTGTCGGCCCCCCTTAAACTAGTCTCGGTTCTCCTAACTCATGCCATTGTCCCTCTGTTCCTCTGTCCCAATTGCTTCCAAAACCCCAACCGTGGTCAGACTCAATGATCTGGGGACGCTGGAGAACGCCGGCCGGTTTTGCTGTGAATTCATGATAGAACCTTCCCAGGGGCACGCCTCCCCCGGCCCTGCAAACTGCCCCTGTGGGGCGCGCGTCCTGCCCCTCCTGCCCCTCTGCCCACACGGCCCGAGCGCCGGGCTCCCCCGGACCCCCTCTGCTCGTCCTGTCGCCCCAACGCTCCTCCAGTCCGGCTTCACGCTGAGCATCCGGCGCGGCGGTGAACACGCGCCAGGCCCTCCCGCGTGTCCCTCCTGGACCTGCCCTTGTTCTGCTCACCTGTCACTCCTCCAGGTCTGTCTGCACAGGGGTTTCCTCCGTGTGTCCTCAGGGTGCGTGCTCAGCCGGCCTGTGAGCCTGTCTCACTGCCTGCCCTTGGCGCAGCCCTGTCTGCCCCCAGCTCCCAAGGGACACCATGTCCTAGAGGCTTCTCAGGTTCAGTCTCATCTGCTCAGAGGGGACCCTGACGGGCTTGGACTCCAGCACCCCCTCCATCTCACGGGGGTCCCTCCCTAGGACAGCACCAGGCTGGCACTGTCACCTCAGCCCTCTAAGCTGGGCGCCTGCACGAGGCACACGGGGGACACTGTGGAAGGACGTCCCTTCTCTCGTGTTGCTTACAGCAGACAGGGAAGGACCCAGCGCCGGTAGCAACAGTGCAAATGCCCATCCCAGGCGCGCGCTGGGGGCAATAACCCCGAGCCCTGTGGCCGGACCGCCGACTCATCGCGGTTTCTGGGGCTGAAAAGGCTTCCAGAACCTAAAGTCTGAGCACACGGAGGCGACCTGCCCCTCCTGCCTGTCGTGACCGCTTCGCGCTGGAACTGGCACGGACGCCCCGCCACGCAAACGCTCTCATCTCCCGAGACGCCGCCACCTGTGTGCCCGGGCCTCGGGCTAAGGACCCGAGGGCGGTTCCCTTGAACCCTGGCTGGGACCCGGGCCCCCACTGGCCACGACACGCTGCCGCCCCCGCCGGCCGTGCGCAGGTGGGCGCACGCAGACGCTGAGGTCCAGGCGGTGCGGCCCAGGAGAGACCTCTGGTGACAAAGCTGGGGACCAGTGCGACCTCTGGCCCGAAGGGAGAGGCGCGAAACAGCGCCACCTGGTGCGCGGCCGGGAAACGGCGCCCAGCCTGGCGCTCCCGCTGCGGCCGCTG